TAATTAACCAAAATCTAACATCACTCTATCATACATTAATTATATGGACAAGAGGTTAGCCATCCCTACACTCCTGGGCTGACATATCTAACATTCATTAATATAAAAATTATATTAATCATTCCTAAAGATACTCATTAAACCTGCTTTGTGCTCCGACTTTAAGAGGGAAAACTTCGGATGTGAAGAGGTTCGGCTTTTAGGAGGAAGCGTCTGGTGCTTCGGCCATAGAGCAGCTCTTTTCTTTTCTTTATTTTGACGTGGCTGACTGTCAGATGTCTGTATGTAGTGTATCCACGTGACTTTTATTAAGAGCTTTATACATGAGGAGTAACAATTCTCTCCAATGCTCGTAAAAAATGGTTGACCTTGTGTAACATTAAACAAGAATCGAATACTTGCAACAAAGAAAAAATCATTAATAAACTTTGAAATATTTGTTTGAATCTATTTTCTACTACTTGCAACTCATAAAAAATTATATTAGAATTTTTAAACTAAAAATATCATCTTCCATTATTGTAAATTTTGTCCGCTTTCCCTTTCCCTTTCCCGCACATGTGGTCATTGCATTTATTTTTCTACATAAACCGTAAATATAATTTTATTTTTTCCCAGTACGATTTTTTCATTTACTTCAGTTCATATCGAAGAAGGTCACCGATAAGTTCAACTCTTTGAAGGAAGTCCTATCATAAACTCCTCTTTAATGCTTGAATTACACCATAATGATGCATGGATGCACTTCCATAATAATGAGGTTAATTTTATGGATGATTTTATAATTTATACTTAAATTACTTTAAAAATCTGTTTTTCGTATAAATTTATCAATTGATAAAAACATATTTAAGAGATTTTCTACTCTTTGAAAGAAGTCTCATCCCTTTAACTCAACCGAAGAAAAGGGTTCGATAGCCAACGTTTAGCTCTGATCTCATCAAGTTGAGATGATCAAATGTGAAATTAATTGAGTGTTTTATAATTTAAAACACGAGCTTTCACCTTAACATTTTATCTCAATAAAATTTTTCTAGCGAAAGAGAAATTGCACTTCTTTGGCATTGTCAAAAAAATTTATCGACTTGACCAGAATGAAAAATAATTAATTTTGTCCCAAAGCCCAAAAAGTTAAAAATAACGTGCAAGGTTTATTTAAATACAATATGACTCCATTATAAATTATCTTCAATTTATATGACAGATAATATCAGAACATTTAATGCTATCTATGACTCCATTATAAATTATCTTCAATTTATATGGTAGATACTATCAGAACATTTAATGCTATCTAATATCTACTTTCATAATTCAATGGGAGAATTGAAGCTGAATCTGAAGTTCCAAACCTTTCAAATTGTTGATGATTATACGCAAATCTTTAATTTTTGCAACCACAATCCCAAATCTTTCATTTCGGTTTGGAGGACTAATGGACGGAATTAGACGTTAGTCAATCAAAAAAAATCAATTTGACCATATTTTGACTAAGGGCCTATTTGGGCTCGATTTTTTCACCCAGAAAATTAATTTTTTGACCGTTATTTCACTATTTCAGCCGTTATATTTGACTTCTTTTCTCACGGGTGGACTCCACTTTTCTTCTAACGGTCAAAAAATCAATTCTCAAAATCACTCCCAAACAGCCTCTAAATCTAAAAGGCAAAATTATAATTTTATATTTTTCAATAAAATAATTAAAAAATTAAAAATAAGAAGGAATTATCGTTAATATATCAGAACATTTAATGCAATCCAATATCTACTTTCATAATTCAATGGGAGAATTGAAGCTGAATCTGAAGTTCCAAACCTTTCAAATTGTTGATGATTATACGCAAATCTTTAATTTTTGCAACCACAATCCCAAATCTTTCATTTCGATTTGGAGGACTAATGGACGGAATTAAACGTTAGTCAATCAAAAAAATCAATTTGACCATATTTTGACTAAATCTAAAAGGCAAAATTATAATTTTATATTTTTCAATAAAATAATTAAAAAATTAAAAATAAGAAGGAATTATCGTTAATGAAATCAATTTGACTACATCTAAAAGGCCAAATTATAATTTTATATTTTTTTCAATAAAAAAATAAAAAGGAATTATCGCTCACCCCACCCCAACTAATCAAACCGAAATCCACCTGCCACTGTCACCACGACTTCTCTCCTCGAGGATTACTTCTTTCAGTCAAATCTATTATGAGAAACCAATGGATCCACCACCGGCCTCCCTAAAAAAGTCTCCATACACCCCATTTCATACAAATAAAAATGGGCGGAATAAGCCCCCCAGGGCACATTCAAGTTGGCGGAACAATCACATTGGGGGGCTCTGGAACCAAGTGTGGGGAGTTCGATTCCTGGTTGGAGCAGCCAAGTGATGTAATAACCAGAGGAAGGGTTGGAGCAGCTTGGTGATGTAATAACCATGGAGGAGGGTCCCTTTGGGGAAGGAGTAAAAGCCATGTGGGAACCTGGGAACCAACAAGGGCACAACCTGCGATTTACCTCCACTAGTCACTGAGGAGCCGGGGGCTAGAGGTCCAGGATTTAGTCCGGCTAAGCTGGGACACCTGGGTTATTAAAAAAAAAAAAAAAAATGAGAGGAATAATATTTTTTGAAAAATGATTGATTGAAAAAGAATGAAAAGTTTTCGATTTACGTATAATATTATTTTATATAAGATTGTGTGGTTGAAAATAAGAGAGAGAAAAATGAAATGTCATGAAATGAAAATTAATGAGAGCCAAACGGAGGCTAACTACAGTTTTTTCACTTTTACTGAAACAAACAGTTCTAGCAAGCATCAAGAAAATTAATGAGAGCCAAACGGAGGCTAACTACAGTTTCTTCACTTTTACTGAAACAAACAGTTCTAGCAAGCATCAAGAAAAGAATTAGTAGCATTATCAAAGAAACGATGCATATCAAGAAAATCCCAAATTATGCCAATAAATTAAAAGGTTTGGGACCCAACTACAATTCTTCATGGAAAAAGTTATTCTACCTGATTGATTCCTCCAGAATTTGTACAGATTACTCACAATTGGATGGATCCCATCCAATTAAAAAATAGTACAAATAATACCTTGTATACTTATCTGTACAAAGTCTGTACAAATGAATCTGGTAGTGTAGCATCTCTCTTTTCCCTAATTCAATTTAAACAAATATAGCCCTTATTTGAGCCACATTATTTTAATAAGAATGCATTTTTGAATAGTGTATTGATAGAAAATGTGGCTAAAAAATAAAGAAATACTTTGAATTTGCATATAATATTATTTTATTGAAAAATGTGATTGAAATGATGTCAAATTATTGTTTAAAAATATTTTTTTTGAAAGAATGTAGATCAAATATGGCCATAAGTAGATTGTCGACAAAAGACTTGGAAAGGCTACAATAATTGCACATTATCCTCTAAGCCCCACCAATTAATTCTACAATGATATTTTAATATTAGATTTTACTGAATATACAGGGGTTTTATTGACACATTACCTGTTATATTTATTTCAAAAGTTCACATGCCAAATCACAATTAATGCTATTTTTCTCATTGACACAGAAACGTCGAGAGATTTCAAGTGTAGAGGAATATCATGTTCGGAATGAAATGTCATTCTAGATATTTAAAATGTCGAGAATATTTAATATTGTAATTTGACATATATACTTTTAAAATATAAACGAGATTCAAACATCGAGAATGATATTTGAAATGTCTACAACATCATTTTAATGTAACTTTTCGTGAAAGCTATTTCTCGAAATCCGCAATAAATTGAAAAAATAAATAAATTGCTTCTTTTTTTTCATTAAGGGTATAATAGATAGTTTAGTGCTAAATTTAAAAATTGAATATTTTTCAATTGAACCCATGAAATTAGATATTTTTTAAAATAGTTCAAATAATTTTTAACTTTTCAAAAATTTCATCAACGACCCCTAAAATGATAAAGAAATTAAAAACTATAATATCCCACGCAGTCCACCGGCCAACTGGTTACGTGGACTCATGACAATCGACATCGAAAATTTCTCGGTTAGTCCGATTCTTCTGTGGTCATACCATTTATGACTCAACAATAAAAACCAATATAGATCGTCCCCTAAAATTTCTGTATCTAGTTTCTCTCTCACACTCTCAAACGCGCAGAGATCTCGGCGATGGATTCGGGAGAAAAATTCAAGAAGGTGAGGCCTGAAGGAGCCTCGTCGGAGAGTGGTGGCTCCGAGTCTGGATTTGAAGGAAGACCGGTCCATAATTTTGATGATAAAAATATGAGGAATGATGACAATGTTAGTGGTGATGGTCAGAAGTTCGAGTATTTTGGGTGGGTGTATCATCTAGGAGTCAATTCAATTGGGCGTGAGTATTGCCACCTGCGGTTTCTCTTTATACGAGGAAAGTATATGGAGATGTACAAAAGAGACCCCCATGAAGATCCTTCTGCTGTATGCATCAATTCATTTTCATATCATTTTTTTCATTCACAAACGGGTTTTGTCCTTTTTATATTTATTGTGTGGTTATGTTGAGAAGAATATTGAAAATGGTAGAGATTGAGTATTTTTATAAAGAGCTGAAAATGTTGGTTATGATCAATGTTGAATTATGCTTGAAGTTTAGGAGAGCTGTTGAATTGGGTAATCTGGACAAGTAAGGGTCAACTTTTTCCGTTTGTGTAATGCATTTTCGCTTTCATCTTTTATTTATTCTAAATTGCTTGAAAATAAGGAAAAAGTAATTATGGTCAATGTTCTGTGCTTCATTCATCATCAATCACCTAATGCTTAACTGCCTACGCAATAGATGTTTAAGAAAGGAGGAAAAATAATGCACACTAAATAAGTTTGTTTGGAAGATTTTCGTTGCATCTGTAATATTCATCATCACATATATAGATCGTCCCCTAAAATTTCTGTATCTAGTTTCTCTCTCACACTCTCAAACGCGCAGAGATCTCGGCGATGGATTCGGGAGAAAAATTCAAGAAGGTGAGGCCTGAAGGAGCCTCGTCGGAGAGTGGTGGCTCCGAGTCTGGATTTGAAGGAAGACCGGTCCATAATTTTGATGATAAAAATATGAGGAATGATGACAATGTTAGTGGTGATGGTCAGAAGTTCGAGTATTTTGGGTGGGTGTATCATCTAGGAGTCAATTCAATTGGGCGTGAGTATTGCCACCTGCGGTTTCTCTTTATACGAGGAAAGTATATGGAGATGTACAAAAGAGACCCCCATGAAGATCCTTCTGCTGTATGCATCAATTCATTTTCATATCATTTTTTTCATTCACAAACGGGTTTTGTCCTTTTTATATTTATTGTGTGGTTATGTTGAGAAGAATATTGAAAATGGTAGAGATTGAGTATTTTTATAAAGAGCTGAAAATGTTGGTTATGATCAATGTTGAATTATGCTTGAAGTTTAGGAGAGCTGTTGAATTGGGTAATCTGGACAAGTAAGGGTCAACTTTTTCCGTTTGTGTAATGCATTTTCGCTTTCATCTTTTATTTATTCTAAATTGCTTGAAAATAAGGAAAAAGTAATTATGGTCAATGTTCTGTGCTTCATTCATCATCAATCACCTAATGCTTAACTGCCTACGCAATAGATGTTTAAGAAAGGAGGAAAAATAATGCACACTAAATAAGTTTGTTTGGAAGATTTTCGTTGCATCTGTAATATTCATCATCACATATATGTTTTTAACAACTATACTTTTAGCTGTAATGATGGAGGACATACTGTTTTATCAAGAAATAGAATCACAAGGGGAAAAGCCAAAGATTAAAGGTGCTCATGTACTAATCATAAATGCATACACAAGCATTGATGAATGTGTTTATTTGATTGTCATGTTATTTTAGTTAATACTTCTTATAGTGATTTTAATAACCAAGCCAGTTTCTTGGCACATTTTCTGTTTCTATTCATTCACTCATGCAATATCTGATTCAATAGTATTTTATTGCAGAAACCCATCCGCAGGGGTGTCGTGGGGCACACTTTTATGGTGGAAGAGTTAGGCCGTCGGAAGGTTAATGTTAAAGTAAGTCCTCTGCAACGTATTAGTCTATAAATAGTATTTGATGGAATCAAGAAGTTATTTTGCCTGTACAAGTCATGTTGTATCTTATTGATTCGCTATTCCCAGCTTTTATCTGATTTACTCCTGTTTTAGTATCATTTTGTGTAGTTGATAGTTGATACGCCTCTGCTACTTTGAAGATAACAAAATCTGATTTCTGTCTCAAATTTTATTTATTTACTTTTTTTACAGGATTTTTATATACTAAGATTTTACAATCGGTTGGATGAGACGAGAAAGGGAGAAGTAAGTGGTAGTTCGGTTCCATGAGCATTGTTTCCACTGTTGTCCTCATTATCATTTGCATTCCATTTCCCAATTTTGCTCAAGCGCATAGAATTGTGTTAACTTATCATCTGTAAGATGATGAAACCCTTTTGAATATTTTCGATTTTTTTTTTTTGGTAAGTATCTTTTCTTTTTAATGGAAAAGGAGCCTGTTTTCTCTGGCCCCAAAAGATGAAATTAGTACTTTTACAACAAAAAATGTGTGAAAGCTATTGTTGAAAGTCGTCCTACTGATTATGATGCTAATATGAAAAAAGAATTAGATAAACTAGCCTGGAGTTCTGTATTTATCTGATAATGTGTTACGGGAGGTTAAGAAAACAAAGCATGCAGTTGAATTATTGAAAAAATTCGAATATATTCACCTCACCAAGACTATTCTATATAAAGTTTACCTTCTAAAACAGTTTTTTCAGCTTTAAGGTAGACTCTAGTGTTGATCTTGAAGTGAACTTAGAATGATTTATTAGACTAATAAGAGAACTTGTATTAAAAATGTCATTTAATATGATAGATGCAGATGAACCCCTGATATAAGAATTAGTGCACTAAGAAATAAGGATTTGAAGCTCAAAACTGAAGCTAAAGAATACACTCTTAACCAAAGAATAAGGTTAAGGGAAAGGTCAGAAGTAAAAGATATTTTAACCCTCAAGAAGAGGGTCCCTTTATAAATGATTGTCCTAAGAAGTTAGCAGACTTTAGAAATAAAATAGATGAAGTGTTTGTAGTTACACGTAGGCAGCCTATTCAAGCATGGATTCTTGACTCGGGTTACACAGGTCAAACTTTTCTTTTTGGGACTGAAATGCATATGAAACAGATATCATAAAACTTGGTTCATCTTGAAATTACAAGATTATTTTTCTGATAGCTACCTACTTCTGGTGTCCATAGAGGAGAATCACACTACAGATTTCCACTAAAGAATGAATCGCTAAAATGTGAAATCAAGATCTGAGATTTATGTTAAAGCTCCAAGAAACAAATCAGTTTTGATTGGCTGAAGTGCATATGGGCTTTTGATCAATGTGCAAACTTTATGGTGCGTGTGTCTTATTTTTTGGAAGGATCATGTAGTCAAATTTACTCACACTGAACAAATTTTGTTATTGTTACAAGATTGCTTGTCTCACAGCTGGTGACGCTCGAAAATGGATGGAAGCATTTGATCATGCAAAGCAACAGGTACAAGAGAAAAATGACTAGTAGTTTGTCATATAGTTTTACATTTTTTGTGCATGATGTTGCAAGATTGTTGGTTTCATTCTTATTTGATGAATTTGGTTCATTTGACTTGTCTAAGTATCATAAGTTATGGTTACATTAATATGCACTGCATCCTGCTCCCAAAAAATTCCTTGACGGTGCTTTGTATGGATTAAGTAATTGATTATGCCAATTCATGGATATTTATAAAAACCGATGATTGTATATTGGAACTATGAGTTTTTTTCTCCTTTTTGCAACACATGTCGGTCACAAAATGATTAAGTTCAATTTGTAGTTGCCATATGTTTCCTGTTAAGCCATTTAATTTGCACAATCATACCATTGTCATGCTAGAATGTAATCCTTAACCCAATTCCCAAGTTTTCATGTTTAAATAAATGGATGATCAGGTGAGTTTTCTCTAATATTTTCCTTTGCTTTTATTTCTCATGGTTCACTGTTCGACTGTAGGCAGCATATGAGCTTTCAAGAGGTGGTAGTGCAAGAAACAAGCTGAACATGGAGGATGAGTATGTTTGACTCTCTCAGTAAATGGAAATCTTACTCAATGTTGAGAAGAGAACGTTGATTCTCTTTTTTCCCCCTTTTAGGAAATGATTGCATTATACATATCTTTAGTAAATAATGAACTTCGTATGCCATCTCATTCCCCTTTGTTCCTCGTCTCAGAACAAAACATGAAAGGTTGAAATATAGAGAAATGAGTTAATTAAAGGGAAAGATTGATCTACATGACATGATACTCAGATTTGTTATTGAAGTGCTGTAGTTAGTAGATTTGTTACTGAAGTGCTGTAGTTAGTTCACATTCATGCTTACTAAATTATTTTTCTTTTTGGAAGGATTAACCTTGAAGGTCATCGGCCGAGAGTACGTAGATATGCCCGTGGTTTGAAAAAGCTAATAAGGATAGGTCAAGGTTAGGTACCTTTATCATATTTATTATGCTTGAATATCTTGCTATTGGCTTTTTGTCTGCATTAAGGCTTAATGACTTTTTTCCATTTACTGCTTTGTTGTCTTTTTATGCCTAAGCTCAATAACATTTCAAGGAATATCTATTTATTACATCTAAATTCTTGCACTTCAAGCAACGACCAGCAATTCTGGATATATTTATTAATAAATATACATATATACATTGCTTTTTATTTGCTGGTAATGTGTTATAATAGGCCCAGAAATGCTTTTGCGCCGGTCCTCAAGCTTGGGTTCTGGTGGTAGACCGGATGCATATTTTGATGCAGATAGCGGAGATGTAGTTGAAGCACATCAATGGAAATGCGTTCGTACAATGGGCGGTATTTCTTCTTCCTTTTTTTTTCTTTTTTCCCCATTTACTCTGACATTGTCAACGATTATCTGTTTTATACTTGTAGATTTTGATTTCTAACTATTCTCAAGTTTCTCGTTTACCTTGTGCAACACATTGATTTCATCTTAATTATTTACAGAAATTGTTGAAACCATTCTAGATCATAATATAAAATTAGTCCTTGACTTTTACTAGTTAATGGTCAATGCCAAGATTCTATGAGGGATGCCCTTTTTTTTGGTCAAATATGCATACTTATTTGTATCATCATCGAAGTAAGCAATAACATGACCGTGGTAACTCTAACCCTCAATCGACTATTTTAGCATTATGCCAATCCAAAGGTTTCTATGCAAAACACTTAAATCATGTTGGTGAAGCTTCTTTTTTGTAATTGTATAGTTGAAAGTCCATATTATATTATCTTGAATAGCGTTACTTGCACAGGGCCACATGGGTCCTGTAAATGCCAGGGGGCTAGCGGGGCCTTTGTTGTGACGACTTGAGTCATTGATTATTCGAGTGTCATTAAATAAAACGTAAATTCTTTCATAAGAACTAAAATAAGAATCTGAAATATTTTTTTCTTCAATAAGTAAATAAATTGTGATCTTATTATGTAGTTGCGAAAAATAAATAAAGAAAATAATTCCAACATAACAACTAAATTAGAAATTTAAAGTTGTGTTTTAAATACAAAATAATTTATTAAACCTAGCCCATTGTCATTTCCACGTTGACTGCTTCAAACCATTAATTTGCTTGAAAGGAGGAAATAATATAGAGTGATATTTATAAAATCTCAATAAGTATGCCATGAATTATTATCTTGTACAACTTAAAGGAGTATAATAATCATAATCAACATAATGGAGACACAAAATTTTTACCGAACATAGGTGGTAAGAATTCTTATGTGTAGTGATACTAAAGTCCGGTCCCTATAACATAATCATAATCATAATCATATTGTACCATGTGGGACCATGATAATTTTCTTGAAACTCATAACATAATAATAATTCAACATAGTTAGCGTACTTACAGTGAAATTTAGAAGAAAGAATAATGAAGATTGAATAGAATTGCTTGATCTCTCTACAATTTCCACCTCAGATATGTACTTGTATATGTGTATATTATTTGGACTGAAAAATAATAGTGAGTGGTAGCATGTGAACGTGAATGAGAGTTTTAAATAGGACAAGATTAGGCATGCATCATTAAGGAAAAACCCATGACGGTGGAAATTGTTCCTTGAAATTTGTGAAATGAGCAAGAATCTCTTTCTTAATTCCTACATTCATGCATTCACACTATACATTACTTTATATTTGGCCAATCAAGAATATGACAAAAAGCATATATCAAGAATTTTCTATATAAGTGTTTGACCTAGAATTCAACCTTTCTGTAAAACAAAAACATAGCATTTATAGTAAGTTTGCTACGATGTCCTAGTACGTGGATTAAACCTCAAATGAGCCCTAAATTTTCAATTTTGATAATTAGATCTAGAAATTCGGCTGCGGGTATTATACATGTGGCCTTGTGCTAGTAGCTTTTTTATATTATCTTATGCCAATCTGGCAGTCAATTTTGATCTTGCTCTTAGATTCTTGTGTTATTCATTGTAATCTTTCTGTTTGGATGACTAGACATGAATTTTTGGTCACTGAGTTTTGTGGATATTGTTGGGAAGACTTGGTAGATAAGCTATAAGAAGAAAGAGGATTGATAGGTTGGATATGCCACCTTGTTATTAAGTAAAGGGACCGGTCAGAGAGTTGCCAATAGTATGTGATATGCAGAGGCAGCGTATACCATGTAACCTGTACTTCTCACCTTTTACTGGTGAGCAGCTGATCTGGTGGTTGTTTCACTGCTTGATTCAGTAATCGCACTGGGAAAGCATTTGAAGTTATGATGACTAGCATAAGCTCCAATGTTCAGTTTCAGCTCTTTGCACTATCCTCTCAAGTACATATCGCATAAACTGAGAGTTCCTTATCTTGTTAGGTATTATTAAATTTGGTTAGAAGTGTCCGTTTAGAGGCAGGGATGGAGTTTGAAATCTTGATTGAAAGAAGCTCCTTGTTCTAGCTCAGCTTTGTTCTCTCTTCAAGAAGTTAAGCTATTATAGCTCAAGAGGTGGGAGGGAAGATGCATAACCTGGAAGGGCTTTAAATCTAATGCAATAAAAAGCCATAGATACAAGAATCTATCAGTTTTGAAGGGAAAAATTAAAAAAGTCTATGGCAGAAAAAGATAACATGTTGACAGTTTACTGTTGAACTTGAGAGTAAAACATATGTATAACTTAGTTATATTAACTCTAATAACTCAATATGAACTAATAAGACCAGTACGTATAAGTTCCTCAGCCTAAATAGTACAGTGATAATGAAAATAGGATTCTAATTCTTGATTGAAGAAAAGAAGAAAAGCATGCAAGTAAATTCAAGAAAAAACCTGGGCAAGCAGATTTATAACTCCTGAACTAACTTCGATAATATCTAATAAAATGAGGATGCTTGGACCTTTTGCTCGAATTCATACCTACCTAACTTGAAATTTGTTTGTCATTCTTGTAGTTCAAGACGCCTGGACTTTGTGCTCAAATTGGTAATCTGATGAATTTAATTGAGCTGTATTTGAAATCTGCAGCATGAGATTTGGTCAACTGTGATATGGACAATGGGTGTTCAGTTGAAGCATTGGTGAAATTGGGAAGTGCTAGGACCTGTGACCATCTAATTGTCTGGATGCAGAGATTTGAAGTCTTGTTGCTTAGACATTGCCCATTGCATGTACACTAGGTTTTTCTTTTTCCCCTTGCAGGATAATGCTGTCCAAGAAGCCTAGCATAGTCAGCTTTTGGTTCCTCTGATTTTGTAGAGCTTGTCTAATTTGTAGGATGAAAAGTGAGGCATGTCTCTTGTGGTTTGACAACATCGAAATAGAGGCTTCTCAAACCTAAATTCTGACTTGTCAAGCATTGTCTACTAGATGACCGATGGTTGTCTAATTGCAAACAAGTACTTTGTTATTTTAGTGAATCAGTATAAAGTAGTGCATTGTACCACCAATGGGACCCAAACTTAGCATATCACCCGCATTTTCCTGGCTCAGGTTGGACTTTTAGCTGACGAGGATAACAAAAGGTGTCTGATAGTAATTTTGAACTACAATTATTATAATCTATAAAAACTGCGGAGCAATTTACTGGATAAAGTAGCCCTACAGGAATGGCAGTATTGTTTTTATGTATAAGAATGTCTGCTTATTTAGAAAAATGTGTGATGTACATTTTTTTTTTCTGGACCCTTTGGATTTCAGGTGTGAGGATTTTTGAAGATGTCTCCAACCCAAAGGTATCCACCATTAAGCACAGTCATGAAATTATGCTTAATTACATGAATAGCTAGACATGGCTCAAAAATCTAGTATGACATGTATTTTGCTATTCCTTTAAGTGCATTTCTCTGCCAAACTGTATGTATGCTCACCTCTTAGATTGCTCATCTTTGAGTCTTGCTCTCATGGTGTTATCTTTTATCAATACACCATCTAGTACTGCTATCGCATGTTGAATGGTATTGATCGTGAGTGCTTTATTGGATGTTGGTACTGAATGAAGTATCACCACCAGTTGGAGCTCCACATGCTAATAGTAGTTTTGTAGGTTGCTGTCGAATATATACAATTTATTGGTATCTTGTAATGTTTGTTTGTACGTTTGCAATGGGTCTTTTAAATTCCAATGGCTTCAAACATACTGATAACTTTACAAATTATCAAAGTTTTTCTATTTATAATGGAATTTTATTTTATTTTGTATTATTATTATTAATTTTTTTGTAGAGTGGTAAAGGCATCTTGGTCAAAGCTGTTGGTGTTGTTGATGCGAATGCAGATACTGTATTCGAAATCGTGTTGAGTCTTGATCGAAATAAGAGATACGAGTAATTGACTTGGACTTTCTTCATGGTACGTGCTAATTCCTACGAAGTCCATCTAACCATACTTTTATAGGTGGGATACAATAACAGGTGACTTGGAGATGCTTGATTCTGTAAATGGACACTATGATGTTGTGTATGGGACATTTAATCCAAGATATTTGAGTTGGTAAGTTGACTTTTCATTTGTTCTATATATGATTTCTTTAATTCCTGTCGCTAAAGCATGCTTTAGTATTCAAGTAAACTAGTCATGTAGGTAATTTACCAACTTTTCTAGCTTTAATTCCCCTATTAGAGTAAGGCATAGCTAAACTAGATTCACACAATTTTTTCTCCAGCAATTAACCATTTTATGTAAGAGAAGACTTTTCTGGGTTTCCTTCGTATTATTTTATGTTTGTAATTGCTGGTGCAGTAACTAATTGATTTCAGCGCTTTAAGCCCATTCTCAATTTCCTAACCTCATTTTCCAAAAGGAACCCTGACATTTTGCAGTTGGCCAAAATACTTAATCCTTCCATTGCCATCCATATCTCAGTAAAGTCTTTCAGTGGCGTGTCTCTTTTTACTTTTGTATTAGCAGAAAATGTTAGTCCTTCTATTGCCATCTATATCTCAGTAAAGTCTTTCAGTGGTGTGTATCTATTCTCTTTTGTATTAGCAGAAAATGTGACAGGATCCATGTGTGTCTTTGCATTTGGTCATGTTTTCTTCTTTTATTGGTGGCAATTCATGTGTTTGTATGTTTTGAGAGTGAATAATGAATATGCAACTAATGTCATGGCAACCCCTCGAGTGCAACCATAACTGGGACAAGTGAATGCAATTTCCAGATTATATGGGTTACTATTTTGGTTGAGGTTACAGTGTTTTTCCAATAGTCGTCTCTCCACTGCCCAAATAGGCTTTGAGTTCAGCATCTAATGGTTACTTTGTTTTCACTGTAGTGATATTCCACATCCATTTAGGTCCCTGTTTGGCCCCCATTAAAATTTAATTCATTTTTATCTCTTTTCTTATCAACCACACATTTTTCAATAAAATAATATCATATGTAATCCCAAAACTTTTTTTTTTTTAACCACACAGTAACACTTTTCCCACAATTAAAATATCAAATAATGGGGGCCAAATGGGGGCTCGATAAAAAGAGAAACAATCTACACCTTTCTAAGATATACTATTTGCAATTACCACAGAGATTTTTGTAAGCAGGTGGCAGACAAAAAGAGATTTTATTTTTTCAAGGCGATGGTTTCGAGGACAAGATGGAACATATAGTAAGCGACTGCAGCTACTTTTTCTATTTTGGTTACAGGTTTCATGGTTTTGTCGGTTTCTGTGTGCTTATGTCGAGTCATCTTTCTTTGATGTGCATGAACATCCTCATCATGTATTAAAACATGATTATGGCTTGTTAACAAGATGAATCTCACCGTTGAAAGCTTTCGATATGTTTAGAAGTGATTAATTTCTTGTCAGGGTAATGATGTTGAAATGAGATGGAAGAAACAAGAATGAAAGGGATTAGGAATAATATGAACTTCCTATGTATTATCCATGATTAATAAATATTAGATTAATTATAAAAAAAAATAAAAAATGAACTTTGTCGAAAGATTCGGAGATTGAAGTTAAGTGTCGTGGATCTGTGAACTATGACTTGGAATTATAACTTTGCTTTATCAGTACCTTTCACATTTCCATTAATGAATCTTTCGTAGAGCCATATTAAGCTATAACCTGTCAAAACTGAATTAATATCGAGTCATAAGAATGATAAAATCTTCTTATAAAGCACAACAAAAGCATTCAGGAGCCTAGATTAAAAGAGGATGTTGGAAGATTGAAAGACAACAAATTAAGAAATTTTATGCAGAGCTCTCTGTGTTGTATCATTTCTGAAGTTAAGATACCCAAGTTTAGGTCTCAATTTTATAGTTAACTGATTGATAAGGAAATAAAATTTTGGTCACTTCATCATTTTAAATTTACTTGGCCCTTCCCCCATGTGTACTTTTAATAGTTATCAATTTTAATTTGATAACTGATAAAATGAGTCAGCTACTTTGCAGTGTAAGAACCTACTGGAAATTTATAATCCAAGATTCTTACTGGATACTACTAGTCTTAGTTTTATCATGTGTTTGACATTTAGAGTAACCAGGGATTGTGTCCACAGCTTGCCACATCAGCAAGTCAAGCCGTCGTTGTTGACAATTCAACAATTTTTTGTTTAATCGTTAACAATGACGACTTGACTTGCCACGTTGGCTGTGGCACATTTTATCTTGCCCAACGTGGGCAAGAGAACAATTCTGTCAGAGTTACAGTGTCTTTTTTGTGTTTGTTACTTAAATGATATACATATTCCCTGTAGTTCTGTAACTATGCAGTTTAGATCTATTCAACATCATTCTCAAAATGGACTTCTAGACTGACAATTGATAGCATTATTGGTGCAGCAATCCTGCAGTTTCCTTGTGAACACAAAAAGCGACCTTCAAGATCTGGTTATGAACGCACAATAATCAACCGTAAGAGAATCTATTACCTTACTTTTTTAGAGCTTCCAGCATTTAATGAACATTTCATTAATTGAACTAAAGAAACAGAAATAGAAGTTTTGATCATGTGTCATAGTTCTTCTTACTTTCTTGAGAATTTAAGTGAAATCATTAAATTGAAAGCTCAATAACTGGAGAAGCTGAGACTTTCAATATATTTGTTGTATGGGACAATGTGGAGGATCTTTTTGCTTTTGGAACTCAGTGGAGAAATGGGGATTGGGAAAGGATTTTTTTTTTTTTTTTTTTCCATTCATTTTACAAAAGTTTTTGAAGCATTAACATGGAACTAGTGGGTACCATGTGGATTTCTACCCTAGAATGGCATGAATCGAGCCCAAAAATTTGCTTGGAGTTACTTTTATATGCTTTAGCAATGTAACTAATTTTCACTTCAACTCCCCACCCACCATTGGTAAAAGTTCTATGGCCAAGTGAGAAATTGTAATTCTGTTTCCGAAACATGTGTTTGGAGGCTTGAATAAAACCAAGTTTATGAGCCAGCACAACAGACAAGGTTATGTGCCTCCTATTCTTGTACCACTGATAATTGTTCTCTTGAAATGAAAGCAATCACTTAAACCTCTTCAGTGTTTCTTTGACTTTCTTTTGTCCTGACTTCCTATTTTCCTACTTCTGAAATGAAATGCGCGGATCTTAACAATCGGTAATTATTTTTATATGCTTCCACAAATTCTTTTCTGTTCATATTGCTTAGCATGTCATGTATTTCTCGTCTTTGATATACTGTTGATAATATATCATTTATCACTAAATTTCCATAACTGCGTATAAGGAAGTCATGAAATGTTATCTTGTGTTCCCTGACCATTTTATTGTTCGGACTTTGCTGTGTAGCTTCTACTTGGGAGATCAGTAATTTAAGCACATATTCGTCATCAAATGCTGCCAGATGTCTGGTGACACAAATGCTAGAGATAAGCCCTAGAGGTTGGCTTAAATGGAGGAATAATCGTAGCCAGAAATTTGAAAAGACTGTTCCCTATGCGTTGTTGAGTCAAGTGGCAGGTTGGTCACACTTCTCATGCCTCCTATGTACAAACTGTTCAGCAACTAATCATTCTCAGTCAGCTGGTAACTGGTATTGATGGTTAGAACTCGTGCAGAACTTGTAGTTCTTTATGCAATATCTGCATACTATATTTGAAATCATCATTTCATCCTTGTAACTCAACTACAACAAAGTAGTCTTGACATGTACCAAATGAAAATAATCTTATTAAGTCATACAACCCTTGTTTGTGCCTCATTGTCTCTCTTGCTGAATGTTTGAGAAAGTTGGAATTAGGGTTACCTCAATACCTTAACATTCTGTTCTTATTACATGTTCTTGGAGATATTTTTATTTCTTTTTCATTCCAGAGATCTCTCTATTTCAGAAGTTGGCTTCAGTCTTATAGATGTCCAAATATTGCTATAATCATGATGTTTTCGGGATATCATCATTCTTCAGGTCTGAAGGAATATGTTGGAGCAAATCCAGCTTTTACATCTGTATCGTCTACCACATTTGTTCAATCAAAAATATCTCATGCTTCTTCATCCAGTAGTGAATTTGAGGATGCAGAAGTGCCAGATGAGTTTTACGATGCAATTTCTGCTGATTCATCATCAGAAGACGAGGATGACGAGGATGACATGGAAGTCAATAAGGTTTATTTATTGATATTCAGTTAAAGAGTTGCATGTTTTGAAGAGGTACATAACTTCATAACTAATATCTATTTACCAGGACAAAAAAATTAAACTCAAGAACGTTTCATGGGCTATAGCAAGCTTGGCACTAAAGCGAACTTCAGGTTCTCCTTATTTAGCATTTCTAATAGAGAACAAGTCCAATATTTTTTCCGTAGATGTATTACTACTCAACGGGCAAACACTAGTTGTAAAACTTTCAATTTATCAATTGATACAGCCCCAGATATAAACAAGGAGTTAAACTTGCACGAACCCCCAATCAGTCTCGAGCCAAGTCAATTTTATGGATCCATGAGGAGAGCAAAGAATGAAGGTGATACAAATTGTTGGTCTTCTCCAGATGGTACAGGATTCATGATCAGAGGGAAGACGTACTTGAAAGATAACACCAAGGTTGGTTCCAAAACTTATAAATACATCACTCCATCAAAAGTTGAATTTTTCTTGCCTTTTTTACTAATAAATGGAATTGCAAATAGAAACTGAGCCTTTTCATCCAACTTAGTTGTTCATACAGGTTAAGAAGAATGGGAAGAATTTTAGTATCATTTGCATAAAGTAATGAAAGTAAAAGACAATTTCTCTGTAGAGTTGATAGTTTATTGACAATATAATTCATGACAAGACTAAAGTTTAGATGAATGATCAAAAGATCACATTGTTTGGCATGTAGTTCTATCACGTTTCCGTAATATCAAAGGATCCCAGTTATTTGTTTGTGTATTGTATATTCTTTCTTTCCCTCCAAACCAACAAGGATTGATGTACCTAAAGCAACATCATATATCTACTTTTGTGTATTTCATTACCGGAAACAATCTTATGGGTGACCTCTCTTCAGGTAAAAGGAGGAGAACCTCTTCTCAAGCTCATAGCAGTTGACTGGTTCAAGGTGGACAACCCTGCAACGAAGGTTGCAATGTATCCTAAAAGCCTTATTCAGGTGACGCATGCACTTGATTTTGCATCACATTTTGTAATCAGAAAAACTATACAAAACAAGACATCACGATGCCCTTGTTTGTGGTCCATTAAAAATGCATTTTGGGAAAAAAATGCATTTTTGAATATTAATATTTTGGAGAATGTGTGATTATAAAATAAGGAAAAATTACGTATAATATTATTTTATTGAAAAATGTGGTTGAAAATAAGAAAGAGAAAAATGTATTTTTGGAGAATGGAGCCCGAATAGGGGCAATATATTCTCTGCCTCTGATTATCTTTCATTAATTTCTCATTCCATTGTCATTTTTCTACCCGTCAAACTCAAACTTTGATCTCAACACAAATTCAAACTACTAATTATTATCCACACATTTCGTGGTCTCCACCACTATTTGTACTGAAAAGTTTACCCAACGTCATCCTCTGTTATTGCTCTTAATATACATGATTTTGAAAGATTGAAATGTTCTTGGCTTATATATTTGGTCTTGGCTTCTGATTCTTGAGCTGCAAGAATACGAAGGTTGACTGTGAAAAATTTATGTCAAAATTTTTCTCAAGTCAATTCAATTCAGCTTTTAAAATGAAATTACTCCTTGGTGTTTTTATTATCCTGGCACTGAACTATTTTAATTTACTTGGACACGACATTTTTGAAGTATATTTTAGTGGTTGGGAGAGAGCTCTTGGTACTGCTGCATTTTTTTTATTACATTTTCTCATACAACGTCTATTGATTGGCATCTTTACAGCACGGGGGTGGTTTAGGTTTTAACTCTCATAGAAGAATATAGCAAGGCTCGAACTTCTGCATTGTCTTTACCTGCAAACATGTCTTAATTCTAAGTTGAATTACGTACATGAAATGTTGTGTGATACTAGGATGAATTCTCCTAAAGTACGCCAATGCAATGAATTATAGGCTGTTGCACATTTAGTCTCATCTCTTATTTCTAAGGTTCTAAAAGCACGAGGTGCATGCGTTGCCAGGCAGCAAGGTCAAGCACCTTGTGATCTTAGGCATTCCTAGGCGTAATAAGATGTTCCATATTTTTATTATTATTTTAATATTTCTAAGACAATTAATAATTATTTCTTTTATTTAATTAGATCATTTGACCTTTAGAAAATTAAAAAAATTAGGAAAAAAATAAAAAGCTGCATGCCTTTGGGTGCCGAGCTGCATTAGGCGGTCAGGAATAGAGTTGACTGCCTTTTATCCATGCCTTCCCCATATGCGAGGCTTTTTCCTCATGCCTAGTTCCTGCCTTCTAGAACACAGTTAATACGTGTAGTTAAATTGTCTGCTGCAATTCCATGCCCAAGTTGTTCATTACTATTTCTGGTTTTCTTGTCTGTGGAGAAAATCAACAGACTCTCATCCTGCAATAGCAATGAGTGAGAAGATAAAATAAATTACCTTTGCTTCCATTCAACGAACTTCTAATATGAAATATCCTGCCTGATTCATAATTTGTGGGAGAATGAACTCTGTATTTAAAAAAAAATGCTTGAGAAGGTATTTTTTGAAGCAGATTGCAATTCCATCCTATTTTTCTTTCTCTTCTTATATAAGGTATTTGTGACGGATCCATGATTCTAACATTATGAAGCTGTTGATACAGTGGTTGAGTATGCCTTCATATCTACATATATATTCTCCTATTTGATAATGTTAAAAGAATTATAATTTGGTGCATGTTTTAGTAAATATTATGCAAATCTCTTTATCTTCGTACTTATTTGATGTACTTTTTCACTCTTTATATTGTGATGTCAATATTGATGTGTTTCTTGCTATAAGGAGAAAACTGCTGGCATTGAAGATTTATTATTTTTCATTTATGGGCATGTTTCCCATTGATGATGTTCAGTTTGTGATCCCAAGGCTCACAAACTTTCTAATTCTGTGTGTACTGTTATTTCCAGACTGATGCAGGGAAAAAACTTCCATTTGTCCTTGTGATCAATCTTGAGGTATCTAGAAAATATCTTATTCTTTTTTCTAGTAATGTAGTAAGAGCTTATTCTTATTCCTCTATCTGGAATAGTAAACCCATAACCCCAGCATTGTGTAATTGTGTTATTTTACTTGTGAAAGAAAACTAGAATAAACACAACGTGCCTGAGAAAGGTGGTGCTAGTCGATAGATAGTGACAATTGTCATTTGTCACGTACTTCATAACATGCCAAAAGGCAAAAGTGAGTGTGCAAATGTATGTCACAGAAAGTTACAATGAAATGCTGAAATTATCTATAACCTTCTATATGTATTTTATACAGAAAACCTTTATGATTGAGAAAAAAAACTTGCTCTGGTTTTTTGTGCAGGTCCCTGCCAAACCAAACTACAGCCTGGTTCTCTATTATGCTGCAGATAGGCCTGTAAATAATAATTCTTTGTTGGGTAAATTTGCTAATGGAACTGACCTGTTTCGTGATTCAAGATTCAAACTTATTCCCAGCATTGCTGAGGTATCATTGTTTGCCGGTATCAAGACTGGTTGCCTTTCCATGAGCTTTATTTGACATTCTTTCATATTTTTTTCCATAATTGTCTTGTTATAATAGGGATACTGGATGGTAAAGCGTGCAGTTGGAACAAAAGCTTGCAAGCTAGGAAAAGCAGTAACTTGCAAATACCTTCGGCAAGATAATTTTCTGGAGGTAATATCCTAATATCCTTTGTCCTAGAATTATTGGATGCTGATCATTGTGTAAAATTCTGTGTTTTTCTATTTATTGAATGTCAGTTGTTGGGGTTTAAATTACGACATACTTTTGACTTCATTTTGTGTTATATTTTATGATGTTACCCTCTCTTGAAATAATTTTTCTGTCGATTTTAGTATTAGCTGCTTGTGGTCCTTGGTTCTCTCATTCATCGGAGCTTCCATAATTTCCTATTTATGCAGATAGATATAGATATTGGCTCATCATCTGTTGCAAGGAGCGTCATTGGCCTTGTCCTTGGATACATTACAAGCATTGTTGTCGATCTTGCAATAGTTATAGAGGTTCGTATGTTGCTGGTTTTCCCCCTCCAAGTGCATGTTTAGCTAAGGCTAAAAGCTTTAGTTATAATTGAATCAGAAGGTTCCTAGAAAATAACTTCTTTTGTTGGTGGAGGCTGATATTAAGTTATCCAAACGTGTTAAAAACTGAAGGTTACTCAAAAAAGTAATTTTAGTAACTTTGCTTTTTAGTTTTCTATAAGATCTGGGTGCACTGTCATGGACTGAGTCTCCCTCAAGCTTGAAATCGTGTACCTTTGCAATTTGTTTTCAAGATTTTGTATCAACCAAAATATGTGGTTCTTGTATCATATGCTTGCTCTGTGGTTTTCCCTTTAAACTGATTTTATCTTTCAAATGAGCCCTAAGAAGATGCTTTTTTACATTGAAAGAAGAAGATTTAAACACTCCAATTTCTGATATACCACCACCACCTCGAACTTAAATGTTATAATCTACAAATTCTTTCTTGTGGCCATCTTTTAAACTATTCAGAATTGTAATATCTTCCATATTCTGAGTCCTGACAATTTGGCTTTTGATGGTTGATTCTTTACTGTTTTTATTTGATCTGACATGTTATTCGCTTCTATGACTAAATTTACAATAATTTATCAAACAATTTATATAGAGATTTTGGAACATAAGCACATTTTCAATGTCTTTTTTCTATCCTTGTAAGGATGCTTGAAACTATGCGACTGATATTCTGATGAAGAAGTTTTACTGTCCACCATCATAGATGAAAAGAAATTAAATAAGTTGATGTTCTTGATAAAAATTTGAATGATCAGTTTGCACTTCCAGTGCACTCTCAGATCACACGATGAAAAGTATGAATCCAGTATTAAATTCGTAAGAATGGGACTTTGGCTTTAGTATCTGAATGGAACAATTTTATTGCATTACAGTTTACTTGTATAAATCTGCTTTGTTCTTGGGTCGTTTTACTACTGCATTCCACACACCTGTATGTTACAGGCTCAGGAAGAGGAAGAACTCCCAGAGTACATCCTTGGAACTGTTAGACTAAATCGCTTGCAGCTTGAATCTGCTGTGCGTTTGGAGGTTTGAGGTTCCAAAATGTAGGTACATTTTACTGATTTGATCGGTGTAAAGCCCCTGACCTTTTTGTTATCTCTGGTTATGTTGTACCCTAGTAATCAATAGTACCATCGACGATTTGATACATGGGACGCCCCCACATTATATGCAATTCTGTATTGTGGTGTCAATAGTAGAAAGAGTGTCACCTCAACTGACAATATTTTAGTTCATAGACTTGATTCTTGACTTTTGTCGAGTAGAAGTTTGGTACAACTGCAATAAATAGCAATGTCTCAATTTATAGTAGACTGTCACTTTTTTTAATCTATTTTTCTTAGCATCAAAATTTGGCTTTTTCTTCCACTGGAAATGGTTGACGACATCTACTCCTGCCTTGGCTCCAAGAGCAAGTTAGACATGCAAATAATTTATTTTGACCTGAACCCATATTTTGTTGAAATTCCATTGTGGTTTTCGACCTTTTTGAGTAATCAATTCATGTTAAACTTCATTACTTAGAAAATTTGTAGAATAACGTCCTAAGTGTAGTTTTGGAACACCAATTTGCTTGCTCCTTTCTAAAGTTAATGATTCGATTCGCTCATTGAATAATATTTCAAGCATTAGCATTGCAAATTTTCTGGTAGCCAAGGTATTTTAAGGGAAAAATCTATCTTTCAGTTTACTTTCAATATTAGTCATTCCATTCTCCCTAATCAGTTAAAGTACATTTCGTTTAGTTAAAAAATCATATTTTTAGTAAATTTTGATAAAAATTAATAAATTGTGCTGTTGAAAAATTGATAAAAGTTGTAGGTCCTATGAATTGTGTAGTTGAAAACGAGTTATGAAAAAATGAAAACTAAACTTAACACCCCATCCTTTTACAGAAGTCAGAATTGGCAGCAATTTGTTGTATCTTATGTTTCCATATAGGGCAATGTTACCTGTATATAAATTTTTAACTTACTACTCACAATAAGGTGTGGGGATCACATTTGGAAATTTTTATATTCATACGAGGCCCTGCATGCATTGTGAGAGGGGGGACACTATTCGATAACCCCTATTCGGTCCATTTAGTTTAATCCTTACCGTATAGCATTACCCTTCTGTGACATGTAGAAGTTACTACACAGCTATGCTATATCTATTCTTACAGCTTACTAGAAACTACAATATCTATTTGAAATGTAAGAATCCCCGCAATTAACCTTTTATGGCTTTATATAGCAATAGCATTATTGATATGATCTAAGTGAAGATAATTAGGAAAAACCACCAGTTCGATCATCTTGTGTTACCGTATGTACCTAGAAATCAGACATGCAAAACCTTTAGAATGAAGTAACTGAAATGTTAATTCAATAATTTGACAACTTCAAGAATGTTAGATATCTTGAGCTATGGGTCGATCCTGTAGTAGGAAATAGGGTTGCTCGCTTCCTGAAGTAAGCTATTTACTATTGTAGTTTGTCTCTACTGGTGTCCGACCAACATGGGAATGGGCTATATTTCATTGACACCCAGAACGTGAAGAAACAGTCTTCAAGAAGAAATAATACGTTATTATGGCAAACTTAATATTTTAGTTAAACCACAACCACAGAAATATTATTGTTGCAATGTGCAAGAAACTTAAATACAGACGTTGTTGACAGAAATCTTCCAGAAGGTGAAAAGTAAGTAGAATGCATGGCTCTTTCATGGCTACGAGTCTTCAAAGATTTTGGTTTATCTGAATTCATGTGTCATAAATCCCAAATGCAAGCAGTGCCATCTGAGGAACTTGTAGCCATGATATTACTATTTTCTGGATTAACTTATATGGTATTGATCCTATCGTCGTGTAAATTCCAAGATGACGGAGATTTTCGTGCTTTCAAATCCCATACATTGACTCTATGCCCCTCACTAGTATACAAGGATTTCGTGTCATGCGGACTTCGAGATATAGAGCATGCAGTGTACTCACTGAAGTATACCAAATCAAACATTTCCTTCTCTACATGCGTCAACCTGATAAGTCCACCATAGCAAGAACTGAACATCTGCATGCATTATATTCACAAGTCGACTCAGTGCACCACCTATGATTGTTTCCACATATTACATAAATATGCCATGATACACAACTTCTTTGATGGAACACGAACTTCGTTATGAGTGCCTAAGATATAGATACGTCATAACAATTTTTTGCACAATGTGTAGCATCATCCCTAAAGGTCAAGTAGGAAATGCAGTAGCCTAGATGAAGTACATTCCATGTAGGACTATCTGTTGACACATTAAAAATGCAGCCCAAATCGAATAGCTCAAGGAATGAAGTCCAATTGGACAATTCAGGATAAAGGCCCAGATAATGTTATTAATGAATGTAGTGGAAGCCCACGAATACGGTAACATTATCGCCCAAACTTGCAAGACGTCCAAGATCTGAGCGAATGAAGTGTCTTACAGTCGCCCAGAGATATGACCCTGTTCTCGCCCAAACCTTCGAATCGCCCAGGATCTTAGCAAACATAAGAATGTTATGGTTATCCAGAAGTGCAGTTATTGAAATAGTTATTGAGTAACCTTATCACGTTCCACGATTCAAGGAGTTCAGTTGAAAACGGTTGAACGACAAAGAGTGGTGGCAGCAGTTAGAGACGACAGTTCCACGACAAGTTAGCCACCATAAAGAAAGTGGGTAGTTACAAAACAATCAAGCAGTTTCTAAGCGGTTGATCACGAAGAAATCATCAAAGAATATAAAAGGAAGAGAAGACATAGAGCAAAGGACCCTGAATCAAACACTCTCAAACAGAGAATATGTAACTTCAATTTCTTAGTTTAGACTTAAACATTTCTTTTCAGTATTCATGTGCTTGCGCCTCTTGGAGGCATTCTGTTTAGTTCTAATTGAAAAGTCATTGTCAATAAAACACCCATTTTTGGGACTTTGTCTCAAGAGGTTTGTTCCTTACACAATCGTCTGATTTTCTTTTTAATTGTTAGCGACTACCAGCGCGAAACAATTTGGCACGTTCTGTGGGACATTGGTGTTTGGTGTTGAAGATACAAAAGGTGAAACAATATACCTCAGAAATCTGATAAGGAAGCAAGTCAGGGAGGAGTCCAATCTGTGATCGAGCGATATGAGGAGCAGCATAGCTCTCCATGAACAGATGGACAGAGTCAGAACAGTCACAGTCGTTACGATCCAATGACAGAGTTGAGTTCTCGAACCATGCGTGCATTACTTGGAGAACTTACACAGGATGTCGTTGAACAGGTAAATCTACGAAATATTCATAATATGGAAAGATTTACCCAAAATGGGAATGCACATTATGACAACATGGCCAAACAACTGAATACTTTGAACGAAATAATGAATAAGTTGGTAGGCCAAATTTGTCAGCCAGTTGTGCCTCTTGCAAATCACTTCCAAGCTAGGACAATTGTGGGACATAATCCCCCAGTCCTAAATCCAAATCAAGGGGTAGAACCACATTTTGGTCCCTTTACTTCAAATCAGGGGATGGTGTAATGCCAAATCAGAATAGTGGCAATGGTACATCTAACTTGGGGGTAACCTAAACGTAAGAGACAATGTCCTAAATAATGGACAGAATGCCCAATGTGTTAATGATGGAATAAATATTCAGACTAATGGTAACAATGGCCCAAATCATGCAACTTTATTGCCAACCAAGGACCAAATATCAGGCCTCAAGCAAATCAACCGGTCAACCAATCTGTAGGAATTCCATATGACCCCAACGTCATGTTGAGGAATCAAATCATGGAAATAGTACAGGATCAGATGGCTTTTGGGGTACGTCCTGTCATGAGGCCGACTTACACAAAGCTATATCCTGATTGGATAGACTAAGCATATCCATGGCCTAGAGGGTATAAAGTGCCAGAATTCTCACTATTTATCGGTTTAGGAGAGGTGTCTACTCTAGAACACATAGGGCGATTCACACTGCAAAGTGGTGACGTAACTGATTACCATAAAATGAGGTTGTTCCCTAATTCATTAACAGGAGTAGCTTTCTCCTGGTTCATCAATTTGCCAGCGAACTCTATTCAAACATGGCAACAATTGGAGCAATTGTTCCACGCTCAATTTTATAAGACTGAATCCGAAGTTACTTTGGCCGATTTGACGAATCTACGTTAAATGTCAAACGAATGGGCAGAAGGTTTCCTTCAAAGGTTCAAGACAGCGAGAAGTAAATGTTTTGTACCTTTACCCGAAAAGGAATTTGTCAAAATCGCTCAAGGTTTTCTAAGCTTTGATTTGAAAAAGAAGTTCCAAGATAAGGAATTTCCTAATCTTTTCCAATTGAGCGCGAATGTGATTAGGTATGAACGATTAATAAGAGAAGAAGAGCAAATGAAAAATTCTAGCAATGTGACTTATTATAGAGACCCAAATTTTGATGTTCATCCCATTAATGACGAGTATTACGATCAAACCGAAATGTGTTTAGCCGAATTAATCAAAGTCGAGACCGTCGGGCAAAGATGAGCCTATAAAAGATGAAAACAAAAAGGCTAGAATGTTCTCGTTCGACGTAACCAAAGCTGACCTTATATTGATAAATTATATAAGGATAAACAAATAAAGCTGAGCGATAAACATAAATTGTCAAGCCCTGAACAAGTTAAGGGTAAAAAATATTGTAAGTGGCATAATGCATTGTCACATTTGACTAATAACTGTTTGGTTTTTCGTCATGTGTTATAGGATGTCATTGAATCAGGATGAATTACGTTCGAAAATAAGAAGAAGATGGCAGTGAATGAAAATCCTTTTCCACAGCCACTTCGGGTGAACATGGTGACGACTGGTTTCAAAAACAAGTTGCCAAAATTCAAGTTGGTTGTAGATGATGGAGAAAAAGACCCTGGACCACATCCCAATGTCTTTGAACGTATTAAAAGGAAGGAGCCCAAAGAGGATGAAGATGTCCTGTGTACAAGATGTAAAAGAGAAGTAAGTGGGAATACAGAGAAATCAGGGATATGGCAGCATCACCATCGCCTTAGTTTTTTTCCAAACGCTTAGCCTGGTAGAGGGCGAGGTACATCGTTCTATAGGGGACCGCCTTTTGAGAGGCAGTTCAAGCCAGTGAATAATAAGAGAACATTCAGGCCGCAACCTCGCCTATTAAATGTATGGCATTCGTTCCAGTATAATGCAAGAAGGGCGATACCCTTCAACGAGATGACTAGAACCCAACAAAGGCGTTTTCAACGGAACTATGGACGAATGATGAGGCAACAACAGGGAATGCCACGTCCTAAGGCGCCTAAACTACTCG